TTCTTCCCATTGACAACTTTCTGGCAGAGGCCACCAGATTTTCCTCAAGAATTTGATGGTATTTTGCCCGATCCATTTTTCCTTCTATCCTGACAAGAGTTCCAGTCTCTGCTGCAGAGAAACACCCCCATAACAGGATATTACCACCTCCATGCTTTACTGTAGGAATGCTGTTATTTGGATGGTGAGCTGTATTGGATTTCTGCAAGACCTCATTTGTGGTTGAGGCTAAATAATTCAATTTTAGTCTCATCTGTCTCAGAATCTTCAAGGTGTGTTTTGGCAAAGCTCAGTCGTGACTGCATGTGGCCTTTCTTGAGGAGTTGCTTTTTTCTTGCAGCCCTCCCATAAAAGCCACATTTGTGGAGAATTTGTGATATTGTTGTCACATGCACACAATGACCACTCTTTGTCATAAATTCCTGCAGCTGCTTCAGAGTTACTGTAGGCCTCTTGGTCGCCTCTCTGACCAGTTTCCTCCTGGTTCATTCAGCCAGTTTGGAGTGACGTCCTGATCCAGGGAGGGTCTGTGTCGTACCAAATACCTTCCACACTGTGCTTCTAGGCATTGATACAGCCTTTGAATTTTTTTTAATCCATCTCTTGACTTGTGCCTGTCCACAACTTTATCCCAGAGATCTTTTGACAGTGCCATTAGGCCATGTGTGATCAAACGACTATTCGAAAATATTTGTCAACAATTGTTTTATTGTCGACGTTGTAGACCATACATAGTTTTTACTGTGCAACCAGCAGTATTCTAGTATTCAGTTCCGATCTGTCTGGTTTGAAGCTTGCGATGATTCAGTTTATGGGTATTTGTTCTTTGTTTTCACCTCCCTACAAGTTGTTATAAATGCTTCTTCAGGAGTGAACACAAACACACACGGCCATTAGTTAAACTTTCCATTTGAACAGGCTCTCTGACGTAGCACCTCGGCACTGAGTGCGAACTCATCAGAAGCTGCGTGATTGGCTGTCTTACTTTGTGTCATTACTGCTGGCCCTGCCCACTCTATAATTAGAGCAGGGTGACGATGTGTCCTACCCGATGTGCTCATGAGCAGGTCTCGAGGAGCTGATTGGATTGAGGGATTAGCAGCTGTCGGCTGTGCAGAATGAATGAACAGAACAGTGAAATGTGTCCTCCTCTGTACAGTGACTCCGCCACAATCCACAGACCAATAAAACACGAGTCAGTCCATTATTCAATTCTCTGTCAAGATGTGTGGAATCACCAGAAAACTATATGAGAGCTGTTATTGTTGGGAATTGCATTTAATGCATGTCAGATGACTGTTGTTGTGGTCTTAGAAATGTCAGAGTTGGTGAAAAGCTTCATTAGTGCTAATGTTGCATTGAGTTGTTGGAAATATTAGTAATTTATCTCCATATTCATAATGCAGTTATGTTATCTTTCAGTTTTATTTGTTAAATTGTCAGTCGGCTGTGAATTTGGGTCATCTGGGACATTCAGTGATGGGGATTGACTAGCTCTGATATGTATATTTCCAATGCTTTTTTTTTTAAGAAATTAATACTTTTATTCAACAAGGACACATTTAATTGATCAAAAGTGACAGTAAAGGTATTTGCAATTATTACAGAAGATTTTTGGTTCAAATAAATGCTGTTATGTTGAACTTTCTTTCTATTCTTCAAAGAATCCAGAAAAAAATGTATCAAGGTTTCCAGAAAAATATTAAGTAGCACAACTGTTATAAATAATAAGAAATGTTTCTTGAGCAGTAAATCAGCATATTAGAATGATTTCTGAAGGACCATGTGATGCTGAAGACTGGAGTAATGATGCTGAAAATCAACTTTGCCATTACAGTCATTAATTACAATTTAAAATATATTTAGTTATATAGTTATATTTACTGTATTTTGATTAAATAAATGCAGCCTTGGTGAGCATAAGACATTTTCTTCAAAAACATAAAAAAATCATTAGCAAATCAAAACATTAGGATATTCTAGCTGGATTGTAATGTAAGGTGATGGCGTGAGAATCACAGTAAATTACAGAAAGTTACCCTAATTCACCCTGCATCTGAACAAAACACAGAATCTCAGGACGTGGTCATTAGATCATTAGATCTGTTTCACACCTCCACAGGAACAAAAGATCTTTTGGGGTTCTGAAAGGGTGAGTGCCAGCAGGATGCAAGCCATCTGATCTGCTAACTGAACTTGGATGTCTCTCTGCACCTTGTTACCCGATGGATTATTATACTGCAAAATAATCGCAAAGTCATATACACACTATATTCCGTGTTGAGTACTTGAGGTTCATGAAAATTAGAATCAACAGTTTCTTGGGCAAATTTTTTTTATTTAATTAAAGGGGTCATATGATGTTGCTAAAAAGAACATTATTTGGTGTAATGAAATGTTTATGCGGTTTAAGGTTCAAAAAACATTTTCCACATACTGTACATTATTGTTTCTCCTCTATGCCCCGCCTTTCTGAAACGTGTCGATTTTTACAAAACTCATCGGTCTGAAAAGCGAGGTGTGCTCTGATTGGCCAGCTATCCAGTGTGTTGTGGTTGGCCGAATACCTCAAGCGTGTGACGGAAATGTTACGCCCCTTACCATATTGTGATGCCCTATCCAGCCGGAGCAACGAGACAAAAACATTAAAACCCATTATAAACGAGGCATTTGTTGCATCCAGTGGGGACATAATTAC